CTTCAAGCTGGACATCTTGTATCTTGTGGTCGTTTACCGCAAAGCAAAGAAGGAACGATACAATTAATTGCAAGATGTTTGCAAACATCTAGCTTGAAAAGCGGAATTCCTCACAAAATTGAAGGAAGCATCTCAACGAATGGAAAAATCGTTAAAATGTGCTGCTCCTGCAAAGCAGGAAACAGCGGACGATGTAAACATGTTATTGCAGCACTTATATTTTGTCAAAGGTATGTATGTTTTTTATGTAAGTTGAATCTTATTATTTTTTATAATAATAAGCTTTTGTATGATATGTAAGTAAAGTTTATAGTATATACATATGACTTTGACAACTAATATTTTTTCTAACCTCAATGAACAGAAAGTTTTAAAATATAATTAGTTTATCTCATATATAACTGTCAATTCGCATGCAATTTAAAAAATTATTCTAAGACGATTAATTAATGCATAATTTAGTTTTTTTTATTTTAATGCATAATTTAGTTTTTTTTATTTTAATGTTTCATTTTTTTTTTATATTTTAAGAGTCGAACTTTCGAAACTTGACGAACTGTCATGCACTGATGTCGAGTGCTCCTGGAAAAAGAAAACCAAAGAAGCATTGCGACAGTATGAATCGATGCCTTTACTGGATCACCCTTGCATGCAATACAAATGTTTTTTGATAGCATTTGATGAGAGTGAAAGCCAATTTTTATTAAACTCCTCCCTTTTTTCTGCAGACACATTAACTACATTTACTTTTATTATTTGCATGCAAGGGTGATCCAGTAAAGGCATCGGTTCATACTGTTGCAATGCTTCTTTGGTTTTCTTTTTTCAGGAGCACTTGACATCAGTGCAAGACAGTCCGTCAAGCTTCGAAAGTTTGACTCTTAAAATATAAAAAAAATAAAACATTAAAATAAAAAAATCTAAATTATGCATTAATTAATCGTCTTAGAATAATTTCTTAAATTGCATGCGAATTGATAGTTATATATGCGATAAACTAATTATATTTTAAAACTTTCTGTTCATTGAGGTTAGAAAAAATATTAGTTGTCAAAGTCAGAAGTATATACTATAAACTTTACTTACACTACATGTATATATCATACAAAAGCTTATTATTATAAAAAATTATAAGATTCAACTTACATAAAAAACATACATACCTTTGACAAGACATGAGTGCTACAATAACATGTTTACATCGTCCGCTGTTTCCTGCTTTGCAGGAGCAGCACATTTTAACGATTTCTCCATTTGTTGAGATGCTTCCTTCAATTTTGTGAGAAATTCCGCTTTTCAAGCTAGATGTTTGCAAACATCTTGCAATTAATTGTATCGTTCCTTCTTTGCTTTGCGGTAAACGACCGCAAGATACGAAATGTCCAGCTTGTAGTAATTTCTCTTTCCACAATATTCCGAGACGACAAAGTTGAGTCTATATATCTGCAGATTTCTAACAATGTTAGAAACATGATTCACACTTTTACTACACTGATTTATAGTTTCTTTTACAATTATATCGACAAAACTGAGTGAGCTCACATATGTCTCGCGTGTTGATGAGCCGGCTTATGGTCGCCATATTGGCCAGCTGACGTCATCATGCCCGTTCCCAATATTCGTGGCGACAGCAAAAATGTGACTAATATAACGTGCTGCCAGCCTTAATTACAGCTATTTGGCAGCAAATGCTATTTTGCTAGATTTTTAGCTGCAAAAACGCTGTAACAGCTACTAAAAAAGTCAAAAAATGCAGTTACAGCTATTTTAGCTATATTAATAGCTATACAGTCGTTGTGACAGCTAATGAAAAAGTCAAAATGCAGCCATAGCTATTTTAACTGTTTTAATAGCTGTAAAGTCGATGTGACAATTGTCAGAAAAATCAATACTAGCCGCAGCCATTTTAGTTACATTAATTGGTATAAAGTCGTTATAACAGCAATAACAAAAGCCATAATTTAGCCATAGCTATTTTAGCTGTTTTAATAGCTGCGTAGAGTTGCTGTAACAGTTGTCAAAGAAACCAAAACAAGCCGCAGCCATTTTAGCGAGGAAAAAAGCAAAAACTAAAATACAGCCAAAATAGCTGTAATCTGGTTGTATGCCACAGCGAAAGCAAAGAGTAAAATGACTATCAATTTTAAGGTTATACTTTTGCGTCTAGTATACTTTTGCGGTAGTATACTTATACTATATGTACATTATAAACTGTAATAATTTGCAATAATTAAGGGGGCACATACTTTTCTCGGATTGAAAAAATCGATTTTTTTGCATATTTTGAATGTTTAATGTCTTAAAAATAAAACCCTAAAGCCGTTTTTTTGAAATTCGAACAAGTATAGAAGATACAGCGCTTTGTACTGCGCGGCGCACAGGCATGCAGTAGCTCTTTGTGGAGCGGCGCGCAGGTACGGCCCCTTATAAAAACCGGTCAAAACCGTTTCCTTTTGTTCTATTTTGAATGTACCCCCATCTGCAGACTTAATTTATTTTTCTCTCAACAGATGACACTGTAATAGGTTATAGGGTCAAACTATATTCAGTCGCTTAGTGTCAGCTGTGTTGTGCGTATCGCCAAGTTGTTTGAGTGTTCTTAATGTCTAAATCGAAAGGTTTCCGAAAAGCTCATTGTAGCAATGAATTTCGTAAAGATACGAGGCGTAAACAAAGAATATCGATCAATCAATGGGATATGAAAAAAGAAAAAGACACCACTTTAAATGCTGCGAAAAAATTGAAAAATTGTACCAACGTGTCAGTGGCAGAAGATAAAAGTATCAGTTACCGAATTTTAAACTTTAACTTTGTCTTTACTAAAATTTCGCAATTTGTAAAGTGTAAAGAATGTGGAGGCGACATAAAATTTTATCCGGAAAGCACTCGAGGTCTTGGCTTCAAGATAATGTTAACTTGCCAACTTTGCAAACCGAGACTTATTCCTTCTTGTTTACAGATCGGTTTGGCATTTGAAATAAATCGTCGTTTTACTTTTGCTATGCGCTGTATAGGCCAAGGACCAACCGGAGAGAAAAAATTTTGCGGATTGATGGATTTACCGCTTCCTGTCGCCCAAAAGTCGCATGATGAAATTTAGAAAAACATTCATGTAGCGTCTAAGGCTGTTGCTGAATTACTTATGAGAGATGCGGTAAAAGAAGAACAGCTGAGGACGAGCTTGGAACGGGAAGTGGAGGATGATGTTATGGAGCTGGCGATTTCTGGAGACGGGACATGGCAAAAGCGAGGATTTACTTCTTCGTTCGGTGTTTGCTCTCTAATCGGTATTTATTCGAAAAAAGTACATTAACATCAAGTCTGTTTATTGTAAAGGATGCGAAACTTGGGTAAAAAAAACAAGGTACTGAAGAATACGATGAATGGAAAACTGAACACGAACCAATCTGCCATATAAATCATTACGTCTCATCTGGCAAAATGGAAGTGGACGCCATGGAAAAAATGTTTCAGAGATCCGAAAAACTGTACGGAGTAAAATATACGAACTATATTGGCGATGGCAATTCAAAAACTTATGAAGGTATCATCGATTCCAAACTATATGGAGATAATGTGGTTATAAATAAAAAGAAGTGCATCGGACACGTGCAAAAATGAATAGACGTGCGACTCCGAAAATGTAAAAAATAAAATAAAAGTATTGGTGGCAAAAACAAATTAACTGCGAAGATGATTGATAAGCTCAGCGTATATTACGGTCTTGCAATTCGCCGAAATTATGATTCAGTGGAAAAAATGCGAGACGCTATGTGGGCTACATTCCATCATTATAGTTCAACAACAAAAGATCCGCAACATCAACTCTGTCCCGAACGCTCCGAATCGTGGTGTGAGTGGCAACAGGCAAAAGCTAACGGCACTTTAGACAGGTACGAGCAAAGTTTCAAAAACTTACCTGAAAAGGTTTTTAATGCGATTCGCTCTATTTATAAAGACCTGTCTAATGAAACGTTGCTAAATCGTTGTCTTGGCGGGTTTACCCAGAATAATAACAAAAGTTATAACAACTTAATTTGGAAAATTACACCAAAAATTATAAACAGCAGTGCTCGCATCGTTGAAACAGCAACTTGCATAGCAGTTTGTTTATTCAACAAAGGTGCGACATCGTTATTAAAAATAATGAACACGATGGGAATTAAAATCGGGCAAAATGCAGCGCAATTCACAGCGTCAAGCGATACTCGTCGAGTCAACCAAGCGGACATTTGCGCGCAGCACGCGACTCGGAAGGCCCGAGTTCAACGTCGACTTGCCAAAAGTCAATTGGAGGATGTTTAGGCCTGGAATAGATGATTTCATGTAAGTTGAAAGAAAAACAGTGTTATTGTAGTGTAAACCTGTTGTAAAACTTTAAAAACGTTTTTCTGGAAACCATGTTTTCAAAATCGGTACCGACCGAAACTCGAAAACGGCTTGACCGATTTAAATGAGGTTTGAACCTATCGCAAGTATATAAAATTATCTAGTCCCTGTCGAATGCTTTTTGCAATTTTTTAATTATTTATATTTGTTTTTTAAGAAACAAAATGAAAATTTTGGCTAAAAATTGATGTCTTAAGTTTGAAAGTCCGCCATTTTGTTAAAAAGCAAAATTTCGGAAATCCCATTCGATAGGGACTAGAAAATATTATAAACTTTTAGACCTTTTTTTATTTTTTATTTTCAGATAAACCAGCTCGGAGATTCCGCCGGTACCGCAAAACCCTACATGACAAGCAGGGCCTAGGGCGAAGGGCTGTAGGGGAAGGGGTTTCCATCACTAACAAAAAAAAATCAGGAAATGCACTTTAAAATATGTACTTTTATTTGCGAAAAACCCGATTTTCGTATCTTTTATATTTTCGCCAGATATTAGGGAGAGGGTAAGAAAAGCAACGTTAGTGATGAAGAAGACATAGAGCTTGGGAGAAAGGAAGTTTGCGAACGATTGGAGGAGGAGGATGATGTTATTCGACAGCTTAGTAGGGAGTGTAATGGTATATGGGGTGGAAGTGTGGGGTTGGTTAGAGCATGGTAACGTGGAAGGGGAGAAAGCACGATATCTGAGATGGTCACTGGGCCTGGAGAGATGCACACCAGGTTATGTGGCCTTTGAGGAAACCAAGAGGGACAAGATAAGGATAAGGACCAAGCTGGCGGTTAACTTTGAAGAAAAGGAAAGACAAGGATATGGTCGGAGAAGATGGGTGATGGAATGTATTAAGGAAAGGGAGGGAAGAGGAACATTGACAAGAGGGAGGTCGGAGAGAGAAGAATACTTAAGTAGGTGTGGAGTACAAGAGGCGGATCTGGAACAATGGAGAGAAAGAGGAAGGTGTGTGGCAGAAGAGCTAAGTAGTAAAGATAGAAGGCGACAAAGGAAAGAGCAAGAGATACTAATTGAGTGGGCCAGATACAATAAACGATACAGGAGGATCAAGGTGGCTGGGCTCCCAGAATACTTGAGGAGGAAGGGGGAGAGTGGTAGTCATAAAAGAAAGGCAAGGGCTAGATGCGGGAATGAGAAGTTAAAAAACAAGTACTGGTTGCGAGAGGAGGAAAGGAATTGTAACGTATGTGGCAGGGAAGAGAGTACTCTAGAACATCTGATGGAACGGTGCGTATGGAAAAGTACTAGCAGAGTAGTGTTGGATGATATAATAGGCGAGAAGGAGACAGAAGGAAGTTACAGATGGCTTAAGGAGCGGGAGGATAAAAAGAAAGAGGAGAGTAGGAACAGAAGGGTTGCACAGAGTCAAGTAGGACAGGGGGTTAGGTTGTGACTGGACGTCACTCTCCGGGTACGTGGATCACACGAAAATGTGAGAATTCAGCCAGATTTGCCTATCAAACGGTCGCCACTCGGTTTGACCCATATGTACCGAGAAGGTGAGTAACGAAATCACGACACGATATTGCAACGATATCACGTTAATTCTCTCTTATTTTCAGGATCTCGACGCAGGATGTCTCGACGCCCCGACGCTGCCTCCCCACTGCTGGATCATCGATGGACAACGTGGGACCACCCTCGGAGTACCAGGTAAATAGATAACGGATACGTTTAATTAATCGGTCGATTTCTGTTTCAGGTATTTCACCCGAGCAAATCCTCTCGCCCCGGATGGATCTCAACGGTCGCTGACTGCCCCAGATCCTCGCAGAATCGCATACTGGAACGCCGCTGGACTTCGCTGGATCGATGCCGTAGGACAAGGTAAGTAGCAGGTAAGTAATTCGAAATTAACTTGACACTGCGTATATTAACAAACGATTGATTTATTTCAGATCGTCGTTGTGATTTATAAATTCACGTTGACACATTTCGTCGAACGTTGTTACAATGCTATGTTTAACGCGCTAGTACGCGGGCGTGCCTCCTTGTGATATACCACGGTGCTAAACTACGCACTAAGTCCAAATATGAGCGAATCTTAAAAGCGTGTTATCCCGATCGCGGTATCCGAGCGACTGCCTCGAGTTGCCGAGCGCTCTCGGCTATCCCACCTCGGGATATCTATCCCTACCATCGGGTTGTTATTTACATCCTGGTACTTTTCCGTGCCAGGTGTTACCCGCTTTCACTTTTCTTTTGATAGTTTTTGCCTGTTTTTGTCGCCGGTTACGGCTGCGGTTCTCAGTCTGCGCTTTATAACTAATTGCGCCTGCGGTTCTCAATCTACGTCTTATAATTAATCGCACGCGTCGGCATGGGTCCCGCTGGACCCCGCTCTCCCGGTTCCCGGGTTCGGGTATTTCACGATTGAGTGGTCTCGCTGACCCTCTGGATTTATTTCGGCGCCTCCTCTAATGATATTCCACCCGCCGATTTTCCCCGGGCTCCCTCGGTTTCCGATATCCGGGGGTCATCGTTTGTCCCCGCTAGCTTCGCTTCCGTTATCAATATCGCGTCGCGAGTCGATCGGTTGTCCTTCGGGTCGCCCTTGAGGCGTGTTTGTCGAGTCGGCCGCCCGTTGTGACTTCCGTGCCCTTCGGCGCGGGGGTCATTGTTATGACCCCGCGATTTTTGCGCCCGTCGATGGAATCGCGTCGCGGTTCGGTGGGTCGTTGTTCGTGCGTCCCTTGGGACGACTTCCACGGCTCAGCCTTCGGCTAAGACCTCCGTGCCCCCCGGTACGGGGGTCATCCTCGTGACTCCGCGATCTCCGCGCCCGTCGGTGATATCGCGTCGCGGTTCGGCGGGTCGTTATTTATACGTCCCCTGAGACGACCTCCGCGGCTCAGCTTTCGGCTAAGACCTCCGTGCCCCCCGGTACGGGGGTCATTCTCGTGACCCCGCGATCTCCGCGCCCGCTGGCGTTGTCGCTTCGCGGTCCGGCGGGTCGTCATTCGGGACCCCCATGGGACGATTTACGTGGTTCGGCTATTGGCTGCGACCTCTGTGCCCCTAGGCGCGGGGGTCATTCCCGTGACGCCGCGGTCTTAGCGCCCGCTGGCGCTATCGCGTCGGAATTGATTCGATCGCCCTCCGGGTTGCCTCTAAAGCGATTTACGCGGCTCGGCCCCCGGCTATGACCACCGTGCCCCTCTGCGCGGGGGTCATTCGCGTGACCCCGCTATTTCCGCATTGGTCGTTCTCGGCGCTTCGCGTATCGGGTGGTTGGCCTCCGGGTCACCCCTGAGACGTATTCCGGGGTTCGGCTTCCGGCTATTACCGATATACCCCCGTTCGCGGGGGTCAATCTCGTGACCCCGCTATCTCGCGTGTCTTTCGTGCTATTTCGACCGCGCTCGTCCCGATCTGCTCTGCTTAGCTCTCCTTCCAAGGCCCGCTCGTTGGCTCGCTCGGTCGGTCATCTGCTGCTCGCCTGCCGGGGTCAATCGTACCCCGGTCACCTATATTTCGGGATTCAGGTAAACGCTAGCCATATGGGCTCTTCGGACTCGCTTATCCGGTAATACTATTCGCAAATCGTCGATGTCGGCTGCTCCCCTGGTCGCTAATGCCCCTCGAGGTTGTTCGGCTACTCAGCTATGCGGACGGTTGCAAGGTTAGGTTGTAACCGAACGATACGTAATCGGGCTACGGGGTACGCGATTTTGTCTTGTAAGTCATCGGTCGCTACTCAGTTTAACCTCAAACCACCGAGGAGGTAGGTAGTTGTAATGCAAACAACACTATAGTTGAACAATTTGTTTAAATAATTTTATTTTCAGATCCCGCCACGGATGCCTCGTCAGCATCGCCTGTACTCAGGATACCGCTAGATATGGCCTTCAACGGCCAGCCAGGGACACCGGTTACCGCGACAACCGCTTGATCGGGTATATACGCGTTAATATTTTCTTAATCCTTCCTCCTTTCAGGTTCCCGCCACGGATGCCTTATCTGTGTCGCCTCCCCTCGAGTCTCCGCTATCTATCACCAGCCTGCCTTGCCTATGGAGCCAAGATGGCGCGACAACCGCTTGATCGGGTAAGTCCCAGCATTAAGATAAATTAACTCAACTAATTCTCTTTATTTTCAGGTTTTGTCAACAACTGCTTTATCTCCGCCGCCGATGTCATGGATCACCGCTGCTCATTGCTGCCCAGGATCACCGCGTCCGTAAGATGTCGCGACAAAGGTAAGTATGAGAATTGTCGTGATAACTGCAATTAATGCCGTTTCTTTTCAGGTTTCCGCCACGGATGTCTCATCTATGGCCTTTTCCAATGCAGCAGCACTGATGACCTTCGACCTGGGTCACCGCTAACACCCAAGATGGACGACAGCCGCTTGTTCAGGTAAGTTGAAGGTAAGTAATCGATAACTTTGTATATATTTTCACAAATAATTCTTCCATTTATTGTTAACTATCGTTTCACAATGGTGGTGGTTTACAATTACTGTTGCCGCGCAAGATGGCGGTCGCACGTCTTGCAAAGTGCGAAGTTTCCGTTTTCGGTACGCGAAAAACCGTTTGCCTTTCGTATCGGCGACATGTAACGCTATGTGCGGGCGTTCCCGTTTGTTCCGGACGCTGTGGTAAACTTATAATCGTAATCCGGTACGTATTCGCGATAGTTACTGCGACACGCCGAGATATACGCGCGAGAAGGATGTTACCTATACGAGCGCCCACGAGAGACTGCCTCGAGGAATATTCCTCTCTCGGGCTCTCTACCTCCGAAGTTTTACCCCCACTATGGGGTCTCGGCCGCTTTCTCGCGGTAATTTTCCACGCTACGCAGTTACAATAGGTGTTTACGACTTCTGGCTTGCCAGGTGCGCGCCAGATGTTCCCGATGGAAATTTCCGCAGCCAGTACCCTATTTGCAATGCGCTTAACCGGCTCCCGGGTAGTGGTTTTTCACCACTTTAAAATTTCGACTTTTGAGGACGCCGACCCGTGCGCACGTCCTCTCCTACGCCCCTAAGGCCCGGTCTACAATGAATGTCAGAAGTCGGAGTCGTAAGAAATTGACCAATCACAGTTCATTATTCTTCGACCGCAAGGAGAATAATAGATTGTGATTGGTCATTTTCTTACGACTCCGACTTACGACATCCATCGTAGACCGGGCCTAATGCCGGTTCCGGGCCGACTTCTCGGAGAAGACGTTCAGGTCGCTTTTGCCATGCCCGTCGATGACGGCGACCCCCGCTGCTTGTTCCCACGGTACCTACCAACGATATTCCAACTTAGTTCTCGTAGCTGACGTCCGGGTCTATCGGTCTCGGCGACCGTCGCCATAAACCACTGTCCGGGTGCTCGGATTTCGCCCGCGCTCGGTTCCTAGGGTGTACCGGGTCTCTCTCTGGACGCATCTTCGGCCTTTTCCCGAGATGACGTCCGGTTCACGATTTCGCGGGTTGTCGCCCGAACTACATGTCCGGTTGCTCGGATTTCGCCCGCGATCGGTTCCTAGGGTGTACCGGGTCTCTCTTTGGACGCATTTTTGGCCTTTTCCCGAGATGACGTCCGGTTCACGATTTCGCGGGTTGTCGCCCGAACTACATATCCAGGTGTTCGGATCGCGGCGCTTTCGCATGCGCCCCTATTTGGGGATCTCGTGAGTCGGCAGGAATGATTCTTATTCGCGCGACACGCGTGGTTCGGGCACTTGGTGCCCGCGGTCTGAAGATTGTGTGTGGCTCGACTGTTAAGTTAATTTGTGCGTTACCGCGATCCACGCACTTACCCCAAAACAAAATAAAAACATAATCCCAGTCGGGCCGGGCATTGTCATGCCGAAAAAGGAAATTAAATGATGTGGATCGGGAGGAAAGGACTTAAGTGCTAGGTGAGCCGCTGCTCGGCGACCGCTGTCGCATAACTTAATTCTATTAGTGCGCCGGACGGAGAAACTTAATCTACGGGACTCTACGGTCAAATAAATGAAATAAAATAAATTTCCACTACTATGGCCAAAGGGGTTTGGGCTTCTTAGATAATTCCGTCCTTGGAGCGCTCGCGATAATCTACCCTACGTCGGGTACGTTTTTCTCGCCCCCTGGGGTCTCCTCTCCCGAGGATGGTCTCAGTACCTCTTCGGTTGTGTCGTCCCGCTCGTTCGGCACCGCTGCATGCGGCACCGCCGTCAGTTGCCTCGACTGGTGCCCCACGGCACCGCCCGCAATGCACGGGGCCACGTCCCATCCGCTGCGTCACGTCTCCTCCCGGGGCACCGATGTCGCCCGTCGGTCCACGCTCTGCCGCTCGTCGGGGAAAGAGCCTCAGAACCACTTGAGGCTGGCCCAGCAGCTGCGCCCGTGCAGTTTTGGCGCACGGCTTCAAGGTCGGAGGAGTGTGAGTATGTGTGTGAAGAGGTCTCCCGC